TTGGAAAAAAAATTCTGTTTCAAATGTATATGGTATCGGTTTCCGTTGCTATGTGTACATGCACATAGTAAAAGAATGAATAGACATCTAAAATGGGGTTTGCTCATTTTTATTTTTGAATCATAAAACAGAGTACTCATATAGATAACAAGAATATTATTAGGCTCAGAATATGGGACGTGCCAATTTTTTAAGGAGTGTTAACCGTTGATCCTGGGAGATATTGTACATGGAAGAAAAAGAAAGTGAAGGGAAGCAAGGAGAACGCCTGCAGAAGGCAAAGTATGATGAAGATCATATAGTGTCCACCCCTTTCCTGCTGACACTTCAAAATTTCTCCACCCATTTTCCCAACTTCAATAAATGTTTATCTGTTTGCTCTGGGGTTTTGCTTTGTTTGCTTGTTTTCTTGCTTGCTTTTTATGTGCAATCTGTGATCATTTATTCTGCTTCTATGCCTGTTCCGATGCATTAACTTTGAGACCCAGTCTCTTTGTTGCATTGTACAATCTATCTAAACTTTCACTGAAATTATTAGAGCTCTTAGCCAAAAGGCATGTCATCAGATACAAAATATATGTATATTCAGGTTTCTATTTACACAAATGTCACCATACTCACTCCTTATATATTTAACCATCATTGTGTTAAATAATAAAGGAGTTACCATACAGCCTTCTTTTACTCCCTGCTCAATGTTGAACCGTTCACTAAGCACTTAGTTTACTCTCACATAAGCTTTCCTTCCAGCAACCAACCTTCACGCTTGTGAAAAACATCCTGTAATTCAACCCTGCTTGTTGTCAAATGCTTTCTCTAAATCAACTATTTAAAAATTAACTATTTTGTATAAAAAATAATTATTTTTCACAGCTGTCTTCACCTTATGGATTCCTAGGTTTACTTGCACCCCACAAACAGCATAGAGACTTTTCGGTTCATATGTTACTAAATTTTAGTCTTGTCCTTCCTAATTAAATGTGCATCTTTATTTCCCAACATTCATTCACCCTACTTTGCAAGAGCAGACCATCTATTGCTTCCTTTATGTTTCACAAACATACAGCCTATTTTTCTTTCCTTTCTTTCCTTTATTAATTCATGCTCTTTACATTTACTCCTCTTAATTTCCATGTTTTAATCTTCCAAGGTCAGGAACAAATGGGCCCACAAATATTGATCACTACTGCCATTAGGGTTTTGATCAATCTAACGGTCCAGGGGTGTCAAACTGCCAGCCCGTGGGCCACGCCCACCGCAGCTTTGGCAATGCAAACAAAGTTGCAATAAACCTCGAGTTGGACACCCATGATCTAACCCATCCCACGATGCTTTTTTTCCCATAAGGTAAGAATTGCATAGGCTAGGTTCATCATACTTGGTCACAGCCATGTCACATGTTTCACTCCCTGTTAACAGTAAAGACATTACCAGTTTGGGCACACTTTTGGCCAGTTTGGCATAATTGTAATCAAAACCCAGTTTTACCTCAAGCATGCTCCAACTATTCTAGGCAGACTAGGATCTATCATCCTGAGGCAGACTTGCAAACCAACATATTGTGGCCCACATCCCACCAACTCAGAAGTACCTGTAACATACTGACATTGCGCGTTAATTTCAGAGAAAAATATATTCACAGGACTATAATAAATAAATATCCATCTTTCATTAGCTTCTCAAATCTTCTTGCCTTGAAACCTCTGAGATATATCAACAAAAAAACACATGTCCTGTTTATAATATACACATGCATTATGTGTGTCTGTGTGTATTTAGCTGTAGAATTTTCATTAAAATTGAAGTGTGGAATCTCTTCCATCATTTCTGATTTTAACCACTTTTCTTTGCTCTAAACTTTTTTTATTCAGGAAAGCATTACATTAGATCATGCTTAGATTTGCAGGTTTCCATTTAATTCAAGGTTAACATGCAAACAATGCTTTTAAAAGAAAAATGAAATTTATTTTGACTGAGACAGTACAGAAATAAGAATGAAGGAGGACTTGCTTGAATACTCTACAGGTCTCTGGAAAGAAATTTCAATATGACATATTCTTTGTCCTTTAAAAAAAAAAAAAGCTGATACTCCTCAATCAGCCAAAGCTTGACCCTGAAAGGAAAGTTATAAAGCAATGATATAATTTCTTCTTTTAAAAAGGGAAGGAACTGTAATTTTCTTAGAACAGTTCTGTTTGCATTTCTTCTGACTGGTAGGTAAATAACCTTTGAATTGTGTTTGCTTAGACTCTAGAGGTCTATCAAGAGATGAATTCACCTTGGGGGGGGGACAAGCAAATAAACTTTAATCTAAGCCGACTCCAGACAAAGTGGAAGCCAGTTTATTTAATCGAAACTAAATCTAGTTGCAGAAAGATAAGACAGTGTGCACAATCATCCATTACATCCATTAGTCCCCACCTCCAAATATGGTTTTTATGAATTTGACCAGAAATACCAGACCATCTATTTCCCCAAAGGCTTCCCCCTTTTCCCTCTCTTTAAAAAGTAAAGATATCAGTGCTCTGGAATAGAGCTTGACTTCAGGAAGACCTTTTTACACGTTTCTAGAAGGCAGAGATCCAAGTTTAGGGCAGCACTAACGAGCAAGAAGGAGGCAAGGGGAAATACAATACAATATCGTGGTTACTTCCCAGCGGCTCGTTAGATCGCCTTGTTAATCAAACCCCAAAATAGATGTATTCGGATGAGGGAGGTGGGCGAATCTAAAAAAATAGGGCATGTTTTTCAACAGTTAAAAACAGGTTGATTTGTTATCCTATCTTCCACACCTTGATGTTTCTATTCCCAAGATATGGAGCTATTACTGGGCTATTACTCACCCCACCTGCCCATCCCACTGCTGATTCTTCTTTGCCAACTCTTGAATGCATGCAGATTTTTCATTTTTTTAAAAAAAAAGAGAGAGAGAAGCTCACCAGAAAAAAATAAATAAATAAAAGGCACCACATTAGGATTTCAAATGACAGCTCTGAGTGCTCCATTTTGGGCTCTGAAGATGCTAATTTTAGCACAGAGCTGTAAAAGAGGAAGAAAAAAAATAGATCTCACAAGAGGGGGAAAGGAACAGCTGGAAATGTTTCTCCTGCGCTTGACCAAACTCACTTTTCCTTCCTTCCTTCCTTCTTTCTTTCTTTCTTTCTTTCTTTCTTTCTTTCTTTCTTTCTTTCTTTCTTTCTTCCTTCCTTCCTTCCTTCCTTCCTTCCTTCCTTCCTCTCTTTCTTCCTCTCTTTCTTTCACTCTTTCTTTCATTCTCTCTCTGTCTCTCTCTAAACATCAGCCAAGAACCAGCTCTAACCACCCTTGGGCAGAAGAGCCATCTCCCACCCACCCGCGTTGGCCTCTGGCAAATTGCAAATGCTTGGATTTCCAAGCACGGATTCTTACATAGACAAGAGAGGAAGGTCATCTAGAAAGAAAACTCCAAAGAAAAGGCTCCCAGTCCAGGAAGATCTCCTGGCTGCCTCTTGGTAAGATTGAAAACATCATCCAACTGGCGGTGCACTAACACTGCACTCCTATTGCCCCGAAGGTGACTAGGCGATGCCATCGCTTGTGAGGAAATAGCCTTGCATTCCCTTCCATCGGCCCTGAACAAGCAAATAAACTTGGTTGCCGTAGCCTAAAGTCCAGAAAGTCCAACTCAGCAGGTTTTCAGACCGTTTCTGAGACCTGCTCTGCCTCTAAAGCCAACCAAGGACAGGTGGATCCCAGATGACCAAGATTTGGGAAAGCTGTACCTGGTCCACACACATCCTCCTCCTCAATACGCACCCAGCGTCAGGCGGGGAGGAGGAAGAGTGCGCGTCCGCCGATCCCCCCCCCACTAACTCTGCGGAGCGTCTCCCGCTCCGTGTTGCTGTTAAGTCAAACTATAAGTCAAACTACAGGATACACTTCGTGCACAATAAACTATGTTTTATTATGATTATAAATAAGATGATTTAAAATACTTATACTTCCCTAAAAGTACAATTACATAGGAAACCTTTGTAGAAATGGTGGCAGTGTTCCTTTTTTATTGTTACAAGTTAATAAAGGTTGACTTTTAAAAAAAAGGTTCTAATATTCTCCCCTTACCTGTTAGTGGTCCCTTGTTAGCTTTCCCACCCTGAGCATCAACAGTATTTTAAATGCTCCTTTTGGGGATTTCAATTAGTGGATCTGCAAATATTGTCTCTCCTCTATGAATGACGCCACTTGGATTCCCTTGTCTGCTGGTCTTCACATTATCTTGGACTCCCTTCCCACGCAGCAGAATTAATCGGGAATATATGAACCAGCAATGTAGCTTCGCTTTTTACTTTTCCTGAAACAGGGACCTGCTCGTATATCCCGATGAAATGGCAGCGACATTTCCCCCCTCAAATTCAGTGGGCCTTTGGGGGAATTTTTCTGGCGGGACTCAACTTGCTTCTGCATTATTATTATTTTTTACAGAGCAGCAAAAATACCAAAGGCAATAAGGAATGTCGGTGATAATTATAATTTATTAGACGCTTCTTAGGAAATATATTTAAAGCCAAATATATCTACATAAGTAGCAAAGAAGGGAGGGAGGGAAGGAGGGAGGGAGGGAGAGACAGTGAGGAAGGGAGGGAGGGAGGGAGGGAGGGAGGGACAGTGGGAATGGAAGAAGGAAGGAGGGTAGGAAGGAAGGAGCATCAAGAAAGACTAAACTGCCCCAAATGTCAAGGTTCTGTGGAGATCCATCTTTAAAAGTGGCTTTCCCCCATAAAATTAAAAAGAAAAAGAAAAAGCTTTGATTTGTTGGATAGATCCTCGCTCCACTTATATTTTAAAAATCAACAAAATATTCGGGTTGCTAAAAACTATGGGTTTAGCTACAAGTTCGTGAGCTGATGTTAAGGCGCCAAAGTGTCGCTGCGTTTCCTTCCCTTTCCCGCGTCGGGGGCTTCGTGTCTACACAGAGGTGCCGATGTTAACTTTCCGGAAGGAGGGGGAGGAAAGCCCACCCTTCACCCCCAACGTTTGTATATGTACATACAAGGGTCCAGTGGAGCTTCCACGTCAGCCGAGAAGGCCCACGGTCACCAATGGCTTCCAATGCCCTCACCTTCTCCGGACGACCTTCGTCGGCAGCCATTGCCAGAGCAGAGTCTTTTTTTTTTCTCTCTCCGCCTGAGACCAAAGCCAACGCCCCCGTCCTCTCCTCTCCTCTCCGAAACAAACAAACAGACAAACAAACAAGGAAAAAGTCAAGGGAGGGTCTTGAGGGAGGCCGGGGGGGGGCAGGTCTGCTCGTCCGGGGAGGAAGGGGAAGCGGGCGCCGGCCGAAGACGGGGCCGGCCGGTCCTTTTCACCAGGTCCTGCCATAAAGCAAGGTGGAGCAGGACATGGCCGTCCCGTAGTCCGAGGTGGAGGAGTTCAGGTGCGACAAGGCGGACACCTGGCTCTGCAGGGCGGAGGGGCTGCTGCCCGCGTGCTGGCCCAGGTCTGGCGATTGCCCGGCACTGCTGGCCTGGTGGCTCGGATGTTGTCCCAGGCTGGTCCCGTTGGAGGCCACGGTGATGGCGGTGGCCGCCGCCTGTTGTTGCTGGTGGTGGCCCTGCAGCGCAGTGGAGGGCGCGTTGGAGCCCGCTTGGCACGGCTTGCCGTCTTTGACCAGGACCGGGACGGCCACGCGGCGGGGTGACTGCTGCTGCTGCTGGCAAGAGGCGCCCTCCTGCTGCTGCATCTGCTGCTGGGCCGCCTTGTCCTTGGCCTGGCGCTTCATCTTGTAGCGGTGGTTCTGGAACCAGATCTTGACCTGGGTGGGCGTCAGGTGGATCATGCTGGCCAGGTGCTCCCGCTCCGGCGCCGACAGATACTTCTGCTGCTTGAAGCGCCTCTCCAGTTCGTACACCTGGGCCTGCGAGAAGAGGACGCGGCGTTTCCGCCGAGGTGCGCTCTGCAGCGGAGCCATGCTCTTGCTCACGTCGCTCAGCGAGCCCAGGCCCCCCATGCCGCCCATGTTCATGCCAGACGAAGGGCCCATGAAGCGGGAGACTGCAAGCGAGAAGAGCCAGACAGGCAGAGTTAGTCGCCCGCTGGCCAGGCCGGCTGAAAGGTTTTTTTTTTTTTTCATCTCCGAATCCAAAAAGCCCCCAAGCCTTCCCCCCCCGCCCACCACCCGCCCAGAAAAGGAACACCGCTTGCCGGGTGGCCAGACATTTTTTTTTCTTTAAAAAGTACAGATAACAAGCCAAGAGCAAACCAAACAAGAACGCCCAGCAGTTACTTAAGAACCTGCAGAGAACCGGGTTCCGATATAATAGGGGAGCTTTCCTGTGAAGTTTTAAATCAGATCGCCCAAAATGTGTCCAGGCCCTAAGCATCGCCACTGAAAACCCTGCGAGAAGAAGATCTGGAGAGAAGAAGAATCCCTATTTTTTTTAAAAAAAAAAAAAAAGTGGGGGAGAGTGGCGATATAGACACATTTAACGGTTCTGTCCTTCCTTATCCGTTGCATCCGCGGATGCGTTGCCTCCCGGAGACCCGGCTCAGAACCATAAACGTTACGCTGAGTAATCAATAGAGCGTTCTTCCCCTGTACTTACAAAAGTTCTACGTTATTGCCCCTATTGATTCTGCCGGCCTTGTTCTGGAGTCGGTATAATATCCCCGCTGTACACAAAGGCCGGAGGCCCAATGCATTGCGCAGAATTTATCTGGGCGCTTTCCACTCCCCAAAACGCACGGTCTGAACTCCTCCACAGCCCCGAGTTTACTTTCTCCCCGCTCATCCTTGATATGCGGAGGCGCCGCCGATTTCCCTCGGTCTTTCACCGATTTCTTCCCCTTTACAGCTGCCGCTTGCGAACGCGCCAGCCTCTCTCCTTCTCCCCTCTCCGACGGCAATTAATCCCTGGCACTCCGACGTCTGTCCATCCCCCGTGGAGGCAGAAGCCGCCACTACGGCCTTCAAAGTCTGCAAGCGCCCTAAACGAGGCGGCCCAAGGGCACAGAAGAAGGGGAGGTGTGCCGAAGGAGGGGAGGCAACCCGGGCCAATTTTAGGAAAGTGGGGCCAATCTCCCGAGCCCCTCTTCGCCGATGGCCGCTCTGACCGCTACCCCACACTGTCCCGCCTGTCTGAGGCCGCGCCGCGATCCCTCCCTGAAGCGGGGAAGGAGACGAGGGGGGGGGGGAGCCGCGAGCACTTACTTGTAGAGAAGCGGGGATCCGGGTTGGCTCCGTACCATCCAGTGGCGGAAGCGCTGTTCCTCATGGTGTCCTGGTAGGGCGGGAGGTCGCCCATGTTGCCATTGCAATAGCCGCCCATGGCGGTGTGGGACAGCTGGGGGACCCCGGCGGCTGCCATGTGGTACGCGGCGGTGACCGTCCCGTTATGGCCCATGGGGTGCTGCTGCATGGCCGGCTGTGCCACCTGGGATTGCCTGTACGCTGCCAGAGGAGCCCCCAAGTTACTCCCCTCCATGGCCACTTTCTTGTAGCTTTCCTCCAAGGGGCTCAAGATGTCAGACACTGAGAAAGGAGTCGTATGCTTTGGGCTCATCGACATGATTCGGCGGCTGGGGGGAGAGGAGGGGAAAAGAAGGGAAAGGGGAGGCAAAACTCTCTCACTCACTCTCACTCTCTCTCCTTTTCTTTTGCTTTTTTTTTTTGCCAAATATTCTGCTGGGTTGCTTCCACGCCGATCTTGTTGGATGAACACGTAACCGAGTGGACCAAGTCCGCCTTAATTGGATGGAGTGGAGGCTCAGCGCTGCCTTTCGTTTGTTTTAGCCAGACGCCAGGTTTTAGGCTGCCACCAGAGGCGGGGCGTAGGCTCTAAAGCAACAAGACAATAGATCCCCGCATCTTGCCCAAGATAATTAGCGTGCATGCTGATGACAAGGTAAACACCTTTTTAAGTTTTTTACTTCTCAGGATTTGCTCTTCGTTTTTCTGTGCTTCTTAAGAAATAGGTTAGTCTTGTCACACAAAAAAGAACAATAAATAAATTTATGGCTTCCCCCTCCCCCCAAACGGAACCGATTTTGTTCATTTATTTATTTATTTCCGGGAGGATGGGAGGGGAGGGGGGGGGAAATCTAACCCTTAGACTATCCCCGAGAAGGGATATAAAAAGATCCCAAGGGCTTAACCGGTTCAATTCATATATATTTTTTTCTTTGCTTGCTCCCCCCCCCCCAACACCCCGCCCGTGGTTAAGTCTGGAAAGCAAAGCAGTTCCAATACCAACCTCTCCCTCTCCAACCCCCCCCCCGCGCGCCACTGCGAGCCCCCCCCCCCTCCACGCGCTTCCGCCCTACCAGTCCTCTTCCTCCTCCTCCTCCCTCCGTCTGAACGAGGAAGGTCAGGGCTGAAGAACTGGATCGAGCCTTCCCCCCCTCGCCCCCGCCCCCGCCCCCGCCTCCCTTTAGAAAGCCCGGACAGAGAGAAAAGAACAGTTCCCGTTCAGACAGCGCTAAGTTAGCCGCAAGGCGGTCCCGGGCCAGATCTTGGACGGCTCCTCCCGGGAGAGGCGCTGGCTTTCCTAGAGCAAACTACTTGCGCCTTTCTCAGGGCTGCTCGGGAGGCGTCAGCTGCCGCCGCGCCTCTCGGAAGCTTCTCCGTCCGACCCTCGCAGCGCCTTCGTTCCCCGCCCGCCACTCCGCGCTTTGCCAAATATATGTTCTCTCTCTCTCTCCAGACATGCAATCACCTGATCCTACCGCCGCGCGTGTTACTCTCCAACAGGAGGAAGCTGGAAGTTTTGGGGGAAAAAAAACGTGTCAAGCAATTCTATAAGAACGGCGGGGCTGCTGGAAAACGCATTAAGGCTAAGAGGCCGTTTGTCCTTTTCCCATCGGCGCCGGGTCACGCACTCCTTCGGCCCACCTCGCAAGCTTAAAAGCGGCGTCTGGCCAGATTTACGAATCCGAGGCGCCAGGCCTGGCCAAGACCCTTAGCTCATTTCCCCCGCCCCCTCCGCCCCGGGAGAATTATGTCTTTCTTTCCTAAGATTTCGCCAAGTCGAAGTGCGGCCACCTCGGGGTCCAGAGAAACCCGGGCGTCCAAGCTGGCGGCGCTGTGGCGGAGGTCTTAATCCAGCCCCGGTCCGCCAGCGGGTCAAGGTGCCCTGCTCCGGCGGCAGGACTTAGAGGCAGAGTCCCGGTCCCGTTGGAGGCCTCGGCGACTCCTCTTTCCCCCCCTCCGCCCCCGTCGCGAGTGGGGCAGGCGCGGATTGGGCCGGGCCTTTATTCATGCCTGGAAGCACCCAAGGCGGCTTGGTTGCCTCGAGTTACCCGCCGCCGCCGCCGCCGCCGCGCCTCCTTGTTCCAAAGCTATTTCACGATGTGCGCATTTCTTATTCTTCTCCCCGGGAAACGGAGTGGGTGGGAAAAGGGAAAAAGGGGGGGAGAGGGAGACTGATTTTCTGCATCCATGCCTGGCACGTTAGTGGTACCTAATTTAATAAAGCAATTCTCCGAAACGGGGGGGGGGGAGAGAGAGAGAGAGAAAGAGAAAGAGAGAAAGGCAGCTAAGGGGCAGTTAACCCGACGATTTTAAAGCTTCAACCGTTTAGTAATTGCCGCTGGTAAATCTGTTGGCGTGTTACTACGGGCTCGGGCTATTCAAAATCATTTAAGCAAGCTCGCCTATAAATAAAAATAAATTAACAAATGCCAAAGTGCACTTTTGCTGCTACCCGGGAGTAACTGAATATCTTTATATCTAAAGTGGCTCGCGTAAATGGCCGGTGGCTTGGTCTCCCCGTCCCGGCGCAGAAAGATCGTTTGGCTCCCATAGGAAAGGCCCTTCGTGGAGGAGGCAAGAAAACGCTCAGCAGCGAAGTCGGTGCCCGCCTGAGCGTTCGCCTCCTTCAAAGTAGAAACCGTCGCCTTGGTTAGGCTTCGGGGCTGGGCGAGAGGTGAGCTCTGGCGCGCCGATGTAACGGCGCCCACTTCGGAGGCCAGACCGTTCCGGGCGTTTTTCCCCTTGAACCGGACAGCCGCTGGAAACGAGCGCCGTCGAATCAATGGGAGTGACTTCCGAAGTCGAGGCGCACCCGGGGCTGCTGGGTTAGGCTAGCTAGGGAAGAACTTCTGGGCGCTTGTCGAGAAAAGAGGTTTCGCTCAGGGGACGGCGTGCAAGTAACAGGGCGTCCCAACCAGGTTCCGTGAACGGTGAGCCCATTTTTTATTTTATTTTTTTTAGCGGGGCTTCCCTCCCTGGAAGTTGGTTTCTCCCGGGCTGCAGCGGACCTCGCTTTGCGTCTGTTGCGCTGGTTGGAGTTTTTGGTTTCCTCGCGAGGAAACTTTATAACTGACTTCTAATCTGACCTGAATCCAAAGATCTCCGTTATAAAGCCGATGCTTGGGCGGCGGCGGGGGGGGGGCGGTATTGTGTTTTCTAGGGGATATGATTTTGTAAGAATTTATTGGTAGCGGCTCTTTAATCGAATGGGTTAAAACAATTTAGTCACCTAAGAAATTAAGAACTTTTGTTTTCCTTTCAGTTATTTCGCGGGTTGACGGTTTCAGGATTGTCTCGTTAAGGCAAATAAAAATTTAAAATCCCCCAGACAAAAACTAATAGGAAGATAATAGAATTTATGCTACTATTATTGGTGATGGACCAAATCTACATTATAAGCAGAGATTCGAACTGAGGTAGAAAAGTTACTTATATTAATAGCATATTTAATCACTTTAGTACTTACTAATATACAGAGATTATACAAGGGTGTCTTCAGTATATGTATCTCCATACAAATAATAAATATATATATTTAAATCGTTCTTATTTTATTTATGTTAAGAACACAAACTCATCTTAATGTACACTAATTGCGTAATCAAAATAAGTTAAAATGTTAATCATTGCTATAATAATATTCTAATAGTAGGTCAAAATAATAATACTTAACAGTAGATATAGTATATATTAGTGTGCGGTGCGTTTTTGTATTGTTTTATTTATATATAGAAAAAAAGAAAGAAAAAACAAAAACAAAATCACACCTTTTAATCATACCCAGGTGTTTGTGTTTTTTTGTTTTGGTTGTTTTTTCAAACAAGGCTTCTCAATTTATGCCATATAAGAACAAAGAATTTCCAATGTTTTCAAAACTTTTTTCTTCCCTCTCTGCATTTTCTTTGGAGTATTGATGAGAGATTTGGTCCTAGAATATTCTGTCCGGGTGAATTATTAATACATTTTTATGAAATTTGAGCCAGTTCTACTCTTCCATTTGGATTCACACGTCTACACTTGAATGTACTTATTTTGACTAAAATGATCAAACTATCGCCATTGATCCTCCAAAATCGAGCCGTCGCACAGCCATTCAAATACACAGCAGTGACAGGACAGAATTATTTTGAATATTAAAATCACAACCAAGGAGATGAGTTTCATCCTAATCAATCAAGCTGATCTCCAAATCAAGTCAGGCAAAAGTGTTTGAATTTCATTTTGTAGACAGGCTCGTATTTTCAATTAGTTGCAATAGTGCTTACTTGTACCGGTAAGTGCTTTGATTGGAAGAGAATTTGATTTCCAGCTAAGAGAGCATAGACTTTTCAGCAAAAGCCTATTGATTTCTCTTGATGGGAACATGCAAGTCGCGAGGTCACTCCAAGTACACCAACTGCTCTCACTGCGAGAAGGGTGGGCGTCTCGGGTGGAATCAACTTCCACGGAAAGGAGTCTGTGGATGTATATTGCTTCTAGGAGGTGCTTTTGAGTAATAAGCCGGTCTCCTTCGGCGTCCTCCACCCGATCTTCCAATTCAACCAGCCAGATTGTGTCCTTCGGAAGGAAGGCATACATAAAGCAAGCGGGTGTTTACAAAGTTGAAGACTGGCTGGATCTACCTGCGCATCTCCTGCGAAACCCGGGGCTGGCTTCAGCTGCCCCGATTGTCTACGGGTTGGGTTGATGGTAGCTATGAAGGACGAGAAGAAGCAGGGTGAAAAGAGATGCAAGAGGCGGAACAAGAAGGGAAGAAGATCTGAGGGGCGAAGGGCGCGTTTGGCCTGCTTCGAGGCGCCCACCTCCCCGACGGCCGCCCCAGGCTCTGCCTTTGAGAACAGGTTGGATCTGCCTCCCAGAGCCTCCAGGGCCAGCTCTTCAAGAGTCCCGGGTGCCCAAACTCAGCTCCGAGCGGTGCCCCACCCAAGCCTGAAGCACGCAGGAAGAAGAAGAAGACAAGCGCCCACCAGCCGTTGCCTTCCAAGCCCCGCCGGCCAGACGCTCTGCGAAGGGAAGGAGAAAAATCTACCCAACGCCAGACGCGATCAACTTCTCTGCATTTGGAGCAATTCCTTTGCAGCTTAGGAAAGAAAGAAAGAAGGAAGGAAGGAAGGAAGGAAGGAAGGAAGGAAGGAAGGAAGGAAGGAAGGAAGGAAGGAAGGAAGGAAGGAAGGAAGGAAGGAAGGAAGAGCGCTTGAACTATTCCTCCCCCTATCCCCTAAAACTTAGCAGGGAATGGCCACTTCGGTAGCCTTTTAGTTATCCAGTACCCGACCATTGGAAATGTCTGGGTAGCTTTCTTCAAAGATGTTGGACGGTCCTCCTCCGCACAGCTGCGTAGGAAGGCCGCAGTCCCAGATCTCGGGAGTACTCGGGAAATTTGGGAGTTTCCTTCAGGAAATCAGAATCCAAGGAAGGGGCAGCTCTGTTCATTCCCACCTCTAAGAAAAGAAGGACACGTCCCTGCGTGAATGTGGCACCCAAATAAATTCACTCAAGATGGGGTCCTAAATTAAGCACCGCTTAAGTGCTTTGCTCCAAGGGCTTCATGAATATTGCCCTTAATGTTGTGCTCTCAGGGCATTTGTTCTTCCCCCCCCACACACACACACACCTTGTTCTCTTTGCAAGCCAGTTCTGGTTGGGATTTCAAGAAGGACACCATCCCGGTTTAGGATAATTTTAGACCTTCACCTTATGGGGGGGGGGAGAGAGAGATTGGAGGCAGAGTCCCTTTGAACCTTTAGAATTATGCACTGACTAGTGGGGCAGAAGAAAATGTTTCATTAAAAAACATTAGCACTGACATCTATAAAATATTTTCCAAAATAAGGAAAAGTCCCACAAAAATGGCAGAACCCTCCAGGCTGTTAGTCCTACAGATCTGCTCTGAGGTTCAGT